TTTGTATGAGGGGGCCCCCCAGGGGGCCCCCTCACCATCGAACCCTATGGGGCCCCCGGGGGGCCCCCCCATCACTGAGCACTAAGGGGGCCCCATAGGGGCCCTTCATCAATAAACATTAGGGGGCCCCCAGGGGCCCCCCCAATTGTTGAGTGATAGGGGGCCCCCCGGGGGGGCCCCCTCACTACTGGGTCAGACGGGGCCCCCATGGGGGCCCCTTATCATTGAATGTTAGGGGGCCCCTGGGGGGCCCCCGGGGGCCCCCTGAGTATTGTAAGTGGCAGTTGGTGGGGGCCCCCTGAGTTTGTTAGCCTTCATTACTTTAATAGATGGTGGGGGGTGTTTATACAGCTGAAGTAATAACGAGGGTTTAGGGTTTAGGGTTTGNTTACTTTAATAGATGGTGGGGGGTGTTTATACAGCTGAAGTAATAACGAGGGTTTAGGGTTTAGGGTTTGTGTACTGCTGCGGGGTGGGGCCCCCAAACCCTCAGGGGCCCCCAAACCCTCAGGGGCCCCCAAACCCTCGGGGGCCCCCCAAACCCTCGGGGGCCCCCCAAACCCTCAGGGGCCCCCTACGGGGCCCCTCCGTATCCTGCAGTGTGGGTCTGTGTCTCCTTTTTTAATCTGTCTCCTTTTGTATGTTCTGTGTGTTTCCTGTTTGTCTCTGTTTTTTTTTTGTTTGTTTTTGTTGTCTCCTTCGTTTGTCTAGTATCAACCTATCTCCTTTTTTGTCTCCTTCTGTTTGTTGTTTATTTTTTTTCTTTTTACTGTCTCTTTCTGTTCTGTCTCTGTCTGTCTCCTCTATCACCTGTGTCTCCTTCTGTCTTTTCCTTCGCTGCTACTGTCTCCTCTCTTTTGTCTCCTTTTGTTTTTGTTTCTGTTTGTCTGTCTCCTTTGTCTCCTTTTTGTTGTTGTCTCTGTCTCTCTCTCTCTGTCTCCTTCTCTGTTTCCTTTTGTTTACCTGTCTGTCTCCTTTTTCTCTCTTTTGTTGTTCTCTCTGTCTCTCTGTCTCCTTCTCTGTCTCTTTTGCTGTCTCCTTCTGTCTGTCTCCTTTCTTTTTTATTGTATCTTTCTGTCTCCTTTTTTATTGTTTCTGTCTGTCTCCTTTCTTTTTTATTGTCTCTGTCTCCTTTCTTTTTTACTGTCTCTTTCTGTCTCCTGTAAGTTCTATTGTCTCTTTCTGTCTCCTTTGTGTTTTATTGTCTCTTTCTGTCTCTGTATCTTTTTCTGTCTCCGTTGCTGTCTCTATCTGTCTCCTTTTTGTGTGTTGCCTCTACCTGTCTGTCTATCTGTCTATCTGTCTCCTTTTCTGTCTCTCTACCTGTTTCTATCTGTCTCCTTTCTGTTTATTTAAATTATTTATTTTATTCTTTTTGTCTCCTGCTTTCTCTGTCTCCTTTTTGTTGTCTCTGTCTCTATGTGCTGCGTCTGCTGCTGCTCTTTGTCTCTTCTGCTGCTGTCTCCTTGTCTCTATGTCTTCGCGCTAATATACAGTCAGCTGTTGCTGCTGCTGCTGCTGCTCCCCACAAATCCCCAGCAGCAGCAGCAGCAGCAGCAGNCAGCAGCAGCAGCAGCAGCAGCAGGAGACAGCAGCAGCAAGTGTTTATGTTGCTGCTGCTGTCCTGCCCTTTAACCTGCTGCTGCTGCTGGGCCTGTGGGGCCCGCTGTTGTGTCTGCAGCAGTAGCAGCAGCAGCAGCAGCAGCAATAGCTGCTGCTGCAGCTGCTGTTGCACTCGCCACAGCAAGAACAACAACAGCAACAGCAGCAGCAAAAACAACAACTGCTGCTGCTGCTGCTGCTGCTGCTTCACTCTCTGTAGCAGGTGGGGGCGTGCTGCAGCAGCAGCTCAGAGGAGCCTGGCTGCTGCCGCACCATTGCTATGCGGCCTAAGTAAGAGCAAGGGTCAGCAGCAGCAGCAGCAGCTGCTGCTGCTGCTGCTGCAGCAGCAAAACTATAGGGGGGGCCTACAACCCCCGCTGGTGTTGCTGCTGCTGTGGAGCCGTCAAGGGGACTCCTTAGCTTAGGAATCCCGTACATACTCATCTCGTGCTGCTGCTGCTGCTGCTGCTGCTGCTGCTGCTGCTGCTGGGTGGCTGCTGCTAACATATAGTCTGCTGGTACCCCATACGGGAGGGGCCCCCAGTAGGGGCCCCACTCTTCAGCATAGGGAGCGCTGCAGTAGTTCAAATGTGTGTCCCCGAAGGCAATTGCATGCTGCTGCTGCTGCTGCTGCTGCTGCTGCTGCTGTTGCTGCTGCTGCTGCTGCTGCTGCTGCTGCTGCTGCTCGTGCTGCGAAGCAGCCTTGTACCCTCGAGGGTCTGCTGCGTCTCCAGCCACGGTGTCATCCCGCGCAGTACAAGCAAAGGCAACGCCAGCTGCTTCCTGCTGCTGCTGCTGCTGCTGCTGCTGCTGCTGCGGTTGCTGCTGCTGCTGCTGCTGATGGTTATACACAGAGAAACCTTGATGGGGGCCCCCCGCAGAGCAGGGCCTCCGGTTGCCTCTCCGCTGCGGCTCAGCAATACAGCTTGCTGCAGTACCTTCTGCATCTGCTGCTGCTGCTGCTGCTGCAGCAGCAGCAGGATTTACTGCTGCTGCTGCTGCTGCTGCTGCTGCTGCTGTTGGGGGTCCGCCTTTGCGTGGAAAGGCAGCATGGCCAGCCCCATCCCCATCACAGCGTTTGATACTAGAGCCGTCACTATCCCGCTGCT